TTTATATGGTGGCTCCTACTGTTAAGCATCTCTCATGTGTTATTACTTATCTGTATATCTCCTTTTGAAATAAATATTCAAATAGTTCCCTCTTATTAGGCTCTTTGTCCTCTTATTATTGAGTTTTAACAGTTTACAAACATTGTATATATTAGCTCATTATCATATATGTCTTGCAAATATTTTACTTTTCAGCTTCTTGTTTTTTTAATTTTTATTGTATAAAATAATGGATTTCATTATGACATTTCCACAATGAATATAATGTATTTTGGCTTTATTCTTTATCTATCACCCTTTCTTATCCCCTGACCCCTTCTCCATGGTTCCTCTATCCCCCAAATTCCCTTTCCTTGAAGGTTCATGTCTATTTGTATGTCTTGTTTGTTTGGATCTAGACTCTTCATATAAGAGAAAACATGTAATATTTGTCTTTCTGACTCTGGCTTATTTTGCTTAATGTGATGCTCTCCGTTTCTAAACATTTTCCTGCACATGATAATTTCATTCTTCTTTTGGCTGAATATACTCATTATGAATGTATATCACATTTTCTTTATCAGTTCATCTACTCATAGGCACCTAAGCTTATTCACATCTTGGCTCTTGTGAATTGTGTCACAATAACCATGGATGTGCAGGTGTCTCTAACATTTGCTGACTTACATTCCTTCAGATGTTTGCTCAGGAGTGACATAGCAGGGTCATATGGTAGCTCTGTTTTCAGTTTCTTAAGGAACCTCAATGATTCCACAATTTCAGCACTAATTTATATTTCCAACAGTGTGTAAGAGTGCCTTTATCCTCACATAGTCACCAGCATCTGATGTTCATTTTCCTGTGATTGCTAGTCTGACTGAAATGAGGTGGAATCTCAATTTGTTTTGCTTTGCATTTCCTTCATGGCTAATGCTGTTGAATATTTTTTACATGTTCATTGTCCATTTGTATTTCTTCTTTTAAAAATTGTCTGTTTACTTTATTTGCCTGATTATTAACTGGGCATTTATTCTTTCGGTGTTTACTTTCCTGAGTTCTCTACATATTCTCAACATTAATCCCTTGTCAGATGAATAGCTTGGAAAGATTTTCTCCCATTGTGTAGGATGTCCCTTCACTCTGATAATTGCTTCTGTTGATGTGAAGCTTTTTCACTTCATACAATCAAATTAGTCAGTTATTGCTATTATATACTGAGCTATTAGAGTCCTATTCAGGAAATGGTTGCCTATGTCTTTATGTTGAAGTGATTCCTCTGTATTTTCTCTATTAGCTTCAAAGTTCTATGTCTTATATTAAGGTCTTTGATCCATTTTGTGTTGATTTTTGTACAAGGTAAGAGACAGGGGTCTAGTTTCAGTCTCCTGCATGTGAATACCCAGTCTTCCCAGCACCACTTTTTGAAGAGGCTGTCTTTTCTTCAGTATATGTTTTTGGTGTCTTTGTCGAGTATCAGATGGCTGTAAAATCCAAGATTTATTTCTGGGTCTTGTATTCTATCTCATTGGATTAAGTTTCTGCTTTTTGAAAATTCATGTAATATTTGTTCCTACACCTTTGTAGTATAATTTGAGATTGATTTCCTGATATCTCCAGCACTGTTCATTTTGTATAGAATTGCCTTGGCTATTGGAGGGCTTTTATATTTCCATATAAATTTTAAGTTTGATTTTTTTTTTTATTTCTGTGAAAAATGTCATGGGGATTTTATGTTCATATAGCTATACAGAGAGATTCCTAGCATTGCTTCCATGCACATGTGTATTATAAGCCAAATTGATTCATCTCTACCAGACCTCTTCCTGGTCACCTTCCCACATTGACCTCTGTCATTTTAAGGTTACTATATTAGCTTCTCTGCAGTGGGCACATCAAACACTTTCAAGTTTTGGGTTTCCTACTCTTTCCTATTTCTCCTGTATGTGTTCTCTCCTTAGCGTGTGACCCATGTCCAATAATATTACTGAATTTGTTTTAGATCTAAAGTCCACATATGTGAGAAAACATACAATTTTTGGCTTTTTGAGCCTGGATAACTTCACTTAAGATGATGTTCTCCAGTTCCATCCATTTACTTGCGAATGATAAGATTTTATGTATTATATATTTTGAAAATTACACACCTTATCTAGAGTTACTAATGCAGTAATTTATAAAAATATAAAGATCTTGAGATCACTTCTATTTTTCTCATATAGCCTTTATGTTATTGCTATGTGTCTTACATCTGTTTTTATAAAGATAACATGAAACAATATTGTATTTCTTATTTGGTGAGGTTTATGTATTTTAAATGAGCTAGAAGGAAAATATTTTCATATTAAACCAAGTTATTGCCATTTTACATTCTCTTAATCCATTCCTGCAATAAGGGATCCCAATCTCCCTCTGTACCCATTTTCTTGGTTATATAATCAAAGACATTACAACAGCAAGAATTGGGATATATTAGAAGCTCAAAGATGTTCTTCCAGAATGTTCCATCTGAAAGTTAAGGGAATAATGTACATGCATTGAATTCCAGCCTCCATTATTTGGGGTTGCCTTTGGAGACAGTAAATGCTTTTACATCTTCGGCTGATGCTTGCATGTGAACTAAGCAGGTTACTAATATGTTCCCAGAAGGTCTAAGGGCGGAAGCCTTAAAGTGGACTGTTAGTAGGTAGCACTGGAAACTGGCAGTGTGAGTTGGACTCCCTTAGCACAAGTTGAGATCTTTCATCTCAGTTCTCTCATTTGAAAAATGGGAATAATTAAATTACCTACTTCATAAAATTGTTTTGAAGATTTAGGAAAATGCTTATCATAGTTTTTGGCATAAAATGACCACGGAAGGAATTTTATAGTGGGAAGGTATTTTAGATGTCAATACGAAATACTTCTCAATAAACACGTATTGAAGGGTTAGATATAAGACTAATATTTCATACCGCAAATTTAGTACTGTTTCTTAATCATTAATATCAAAATAAATTTGGAACTGATATTTATCTACAAGATAATTTATTAAAATTTATTCTCCAGTAATTATTAAGTAAAGATTGTAGAACTAAACCTGAACGCTTCAATAGAAAACAAAGAAATAATTGACCACTTGAGAATTGGTAGAATCTTGAATTATTGATTGTTTTCTGTGTAAGTTGAATTGCTCAATATTCAGTAAGGAATATAATGATGCACTGTGATACTTTTGAATTCACATCTTCAGAGATTTTACCCCCAAAGGAGAATAAAAATAAAAATATATTAAGATATAGATATAGACATATCTGCATAACCAGTATGACATTGATTTGTTAATGAGAAATAAATGAGTTCTCAGTTCATGAGATAAGACAAGCTTTCTCTAAAGAATCTGATATATTGATTCTCATTAACCATTTGAGAAAACATTACTCTCTAAAGTTAATGTTCTCACAGTCATAGTGGGCAAACAAGGCAGTTGTTAATCAAGGAATCAACTAGTTAGCAATTGGGCTGACTTGTTCTTTTTCCACCATTGGTTTCGTGTGAGTAAACAATAATAATTCAAGTTGCCAGACTTGCTTGTTTACTTAACCGTAAGACAGAAATGCATATGGTCTTTCAGCACTATCCAAATTTGGCACTCTGCAAAAATGCTAGCTTTGAGTTGCTTTAGGTATTTCTTGATATTTGAAGATTTTGAAGTGTAAAGTTGTAAAAATAATGCAGAAATACTGACTTTATGCATCTGAATACTGTAGATTCAAGGCAAGCTTAAGAAAAACCTTGATATATACACTCAGAAATTTGGAGACAAAGAGTAACATGACCACTAACTCAGGGATACTTCTTAAGTTTAGCATATACTTTATGTAGCTACATATGTTTGAAAGGACTGTATTTTGTGCTAAAAAATTCCTTTAGAAATCATTGTTACCGTAGGATGTGATATGGCTTATCTGAATGAATGTACTTTAATTATGTGCTGAGTATCAAATCTTTTTTTCATAGTGATTACCTTGATATTTCAAATTATTTGATAAAATGATTTTTCTGTTTGAAAAACATAAAAGTGTCCAGTAAATTTACAATACGTTACCAAATTTCCAAGCTTAATTTAAAATTCTTCTGAGATTATATTATTGATAACAATATTTCTTCTTTTTAAAAAAAGGTCACATTTAACTAATAAATATTGTGAAATATGTAACAACTTGAGACTTTTGCACATTTGCTCTTAGAGGCTTAAACAAGCTTATTATCTTCTCATTTCTGGGTATATTATACTTCATAAAAAGTATTGTTTAACTTCATTGCTACATAGTTACTAAGGGAATAAGCAATCATATTCCTAGGACTCATATTTCTTGCTTTATTACTTGCTATGTAAGCTCATGGAATTTACATAAATTTTAGTTTCTGGTATTTATCTACAAAATAGTAATGAAAGGGCTGGTGGAGTGGCTTATAGGGTAGAGCTGCCTAGTAAGCTTGAGACCCTGAGTTCAAACCCCAGTACTGCCAAAAAATAAAAATAATTAAAAAATAGTAATGAAAACAACTAATATTATTTTATTGAAAATGTCATAAACTATGCACATTTGTTTATTTATATAATAAATATTATGTACATCTGTTTATATATATAATTCTTCTCATTTTGGAAGCAAGTAAATAAATATTAGCTACTATTTGTGTCTTTTTTACAAAACCCTTTTGTTCCAATGTACTCAGCACTTATTTTTGTTATTCTTATATGCCTTGTATTTTCATCATTTGATTTTTGAGTTACTTTAGATTCACTTTTTGGAAAATATAATATATAAGGAAAAAATAGATATTAATATAAAAGAATTCTGTGGTGTTTTTGCTAATATTATTTTGAATATTACCACAGATTCATAACTGCATGTCAATATGTGTTGGTATTTGAATATATTGATATTCCACATGTGTTAATGAAAATAAAAGCATCACATTTACACATTCTTTCATGCAATGTTTTGGTTTGCTTTTAGAAACAGCTACAGTGTCCCATGGATTCCCTGGTGGATGGGAACCGCACTGCAGTGACAGAGTTCATTTTGTTGGGTTTGACAGATGATCCAGTCCTTCGAGTCATCCTCTTCATGGTCATCCTGTGCATCTACCTGGTCACCATAACTGGCAATCTCAGCACAGTCATTCTTATCAGAGTCTCTTCCCAGCTCCACCATCCCATGTACTTTTTTCTGAGCCATTTAGCTTTTACTGACATAGGCTTTTCTTCTTCTGTCATACCCAATATGCTTGTTAACTTCCTAGTAAAGAGAAATACAATCTCCTACATTGGATGTGGTAGCCAGCTTGGTTTAGTTGTTTTCTTTGGGACAGTTGAGTGCTTCCTTCTGGCTGTTATGGCATATGATCGATTTGTGGCCATCTGCAACCCCCTGCTGTATTCAACCAAAATGTCCACACAGGTCTGTGTCCAGTTGCTTATAATAACTTATACAGGTGGTTTTCTCAATAGTTGCACTTTTACTATTTGCTTCTATAGTTTACTCTTCTGTGGATCAAATAGAGTCAATCACTTTTTCTGTGATTTTGCTCCTTTAGTTGGACTCTCCTGTTCTGATGTCAGTGTCCTCACAGTTGTTTCCTCATTTTCTGCTGGCTCCATCATCGCATTCACAATGATAGTCATTGCCGTCTCCTATATCTACATCCTCATCACCGTCCTGAAGATGCATTCCATTGGGGGCTGCCACAAGACCTTCTCCACCTGCACCTCCCACCTCACTGTGGTCATTCTGTACTATGGAACCATTTCATTCATTTATGTGATGCCCAAGTCTTTCTTCTCTTCTGACCAGAACAAGGTGATATCAGTGTTCTACACAGTGATGATCCCCACATTAAACCCCCTGATCTATAGTCTCAGGAATAATGAGATTAAGGAGTCTCTGAAGAGAATGCTTGGTAGGAAAATATTTTCTTAGCAACATGTTATTTTGTCAGACTTTATAAAGTAATGATATCACATAGATACAATAATAAAAGTTAACTGAATATTGAAATATATCTACTGATATATAACAGTGTGAATGTTTTTAGTAAATGTACAGGGTAGATTTAAGATATCAAATAGTAAGTCATAGGTTCATGGTGAGTAATATTTAATAAATTTAATATAATCTATAACTAAGAAAAATATTTCCGATAACAATAATCTGCTGAAAATTCTTTTTCTGATGTACTCATATTTTTGAAATGTAGTTAGTTGCTATGAATTCATATTGCTAAACATACAAATGTTTAGGATTGGGGCCATTTTCAACAGCAACTCACCCTGAAATCTGCACAGTAACTGTAATTATGACTTAGTATGCATTGAGAGAAAATTACAAAATGTACAAGACAATAAAATTACTGGTGATGTTTTTCTTGTAGTATGGCTATCTGTTGGTTTTTACCCTTGTAGACTCACAAAATTTCAGTCTGCATTTTCAACAGCTTTGGATATAAGCAAGGTCTACACACATCAAAAGGATGGGATGTCCTGACAAACCTGCTCCCCTGACAATGTTCTCTTTTCTTTAGTTCAGATGATGGAACCCAGAGCCTGGCACATGGTAAGGAGGCTCTATCACTGAGCCACATCCTATCCTACGCTTCCCCTTAGTCTTAATTTACCTCTACTCTGATGACCACCACATTCATTTATCTTTCCCTGCCCTCTCTTTCAGTCCCAACTTCTCTTCAAGTCAGTGTCATCATAATTCAATCTGTCTAGGGATTTAGAAGTGTGAGAGTAATTTATTTCACTCTCCTGTCTGCACTCTTACATTTGATCATGAAATTTTCTACATTCTGGTTAAAAATTTATCTACTACTCTCCATCTTCATTGTCAATCTTTCTACTTCAAACTGACTGCCTTTTAGATTTAGTTTACAATAAGTAGTCAAAGTGTAATGAGTAATTTTATCTGTCAATTTGACTAAACTCTGATGCCCATTGTTTGGTTGAACACAAGTCCTGATGTGCCTCTGATGGCATTTTTTGTGATGCAATGAACACTTAAATCTTCAGTCCTTGACTAAAGCAGATTAGCCTTGAAAATATAGACGGATCTTGTTTGATCAGCGTAAAGCCTTACGAGAAAAGACTGAGGTCTTCTGAAGAGGTTAGACATATTTCCATATTGGTTTGGACTCTTGACTATAACACTCTTATTGAAATGTCAATCTGCTGATCTATCCTATGGATTTTGGACCTTACAGTGCAACAATTGCAAAACGCAACTCCTTAGTATCTCCATGTCTCTGTGTAGATAGATGTGTGCATGTATATATGTGTGTAAATAGATAATGGATAGATAGACAATAGATAGATGATAGATAGATAGATAGATATAGTACAAAAATATAATCAGTTCCCTTAGGAAAGCCTAGCTAATACAACCTCTAACAAGATCTCTTCATTATGACTCTTACATTTTTCCAATTCATGTTCCACATACCAAACATAACCATAATTAAAAAATATTTTTTGATGAAGCTTCCAAAGATCTTAAAATAAAAGCAACACTTCTGAACATGTCTTACAAGTTCCTGAATATGGCCTTTGTTTTCTTCTCATCTCTCATTAATTTTCTCTCAGCCCTTGTGCACACACATTCTAGGAATTAATCTTTTGATCTTCTCTCAAATCCTTAAACATGTCCCTATTCTTTGTTGCCTCAAGAGTTCCTCACATGCAGGACCTCTACCTGCAATACACTTTTCCCTTCACCTGGAAAACATCTTATGCTACAGCTACCAGACTATGTGTTATTTGACCATTTCTAGCTAGCCTTATTAAAGCTTCAGACATTACTAAGAACACTATTATGCCTATGTAGAACCCTGTGTATTTTCCTAAAAAATTTCAGTGCACTGATAGTTACATATTCAGTGATTGTTTTTCCACAATGTTGGAAGCTTCAGGTAGACAGTTACAATAGCTTCCTCTTGCCTCAGTTTCTAGTGTTCATACATTTCATAGGAACATAGGAACATAGTAAGTTTAAATGCATTTGATATGAATGAATGAAAAAATTAATATACCAATGAATGGCTGAATGAAACTTCTACTTATGTTGGAACATTGATTCTGCTGTATTTAAATTCTTATTTTATAGAGGATGTAACTGACGCAAACATAGGTTAAGCAAATGATCAAGTTCACAAATATTATTTTAATACTTTGATTTCTTTTATGGCATAAACTCTCATGTAGGAATGGAGGGATGAACTCTTTGAGAACACTAGAGAACTTTGTTTCTGTCACATTTATTTCTAGCAAACTTTTTGCTCTTACTAAATATGAGATTTCCATATCTGAAAATGACAAGGTAATTTGCATTAGACTACCTTTTTGACACCAGACAAATATGAAGCTAGGTAAATACGTTTACATATTTGAAGGTTTAGATTTCTAATTCCACTGAAGATAAAGTAGTCTCATTCTTTTCAGGATCTCCCGCTTATCATTAAAAAAATAAACTTTAGATGGAACATAAGAAGAAAACTGGGGAAATCATGGTCTTAACAGAAGTGAACATCCTAGTGAAAAGCTTCCCATACTTCACACAAACACTGATGAAAATGGCACCTTCCTACTACCCAAGTATCACTGGGGCCAACTGAAAGACTGATCCTCCTTACTATTCCTCTATCAGCACAGTGTAGCATTTCAAATTGGGAAATGAGATTCTACTTCACCTGGAAGCCACAGACCTAAAAGATGGGACTTTTTGGTACTCTGTCCCCATCCCTGTGTGTGAGGCCCTCTGGCGACCTGATCTTCCATCTCCACCTGCAACAAGAAGCAATGCAAGCCAGCTCACCAGTTCTTCCTTCTCTAGTGGCAGTGAGTCCCAACAGTGAGCAAAGTTTACTATAGGCAAGGAGGCAAGCAAGCTAGGGCCTCACCTTCACTGCTTGGGAGTCAACAGCAACTGGCAGCTGAACTTGCACTCACACACTGAAAGGAGACAGAAAGAGTCACCTTCCACTTATGGAAGCCTGGTGTCAGTGGGGCCCAACAGGAAACTGAACACACACACTTGACTAATATTGTAGCTGTATCTCAATAGGAGGACTACCTGCTAAAAAAAAAGAATGACTATGACTCAGCATCTCATAACGTGATACTCAAAATGTCCATAATACAGTAAAAACCACTAGTTCTACCAAGAGCCAAAAGATTAAAAATGGTTTGATGCCAACATTTAGATGAATCAGATTTTGAAATTATCTAAAAGGGATTTTAAAGCAACTATTAAAAATGCTTCATTCAATCAGCAATCACTGATTTTCTTGGTAGGAATGAAGCCATTAGAAAAGCTCAGTAAAGAAATGGAAAAAGGAGCCAAATGGAAATTATAAATTGTAACATTGTACCTACTTACAATGTTACAGTTTATCAGGAAGCTTAAATTCCGGGTTTATTGCACAGTAGGGTGACTAGTTAGTAATAATAATACATTGTATATTTAAAGTAGCTCAGAGGTTTTACCACAAAGAAATGATAAATGTTCTAGGTAATGTGATATGTTAATAACCCTGATTTGATCATTACAAAATGTATTCATGAACTGAAAAATCACATCTTCCCCATAAATATATGCATTATCATGTGTCAACGAAAAATAAAAATAAGCAAAAATACCCCCAAATAACAATTAAAAACAGAAAAGAAATTACAAAACTGAAAAACACAATCATCTAAATAAACAACCTAGGTGGATGGGTTGCATAGTAGAGGGCAAACAGAGGAATAGAGTGGAGACAGAGGTTTTGAATAAATTAAGCAGAATTTAACTGATAAAAACAACAAAGAAAATAGAGCTACACACCTACGGGGTAGTAAAAATAGAGCCAACGTTCATATTTTTAGTGCTCCAGAAAGAATGAAATGGCATTGAATAAATACTGAAAGAAATACTGACCAAAAACATCTTAACATTGATGAAAGAGGTAAAGAGTTATAAAATCAGGAAGATGTATAAATTCATAATTTTTTAAATGTCATATTCTAATTAAACTTTTGAAAATTAAGGGCAAAAAATTTTGAAATTAGCCAGAGAGAGAGAGGACCCACTACTTTAAAAAGGAAGTCACTCTGAGAAACAAAAAGTTTCTCATTTGAAATCATGAAGCCAAAAGGAGGTGGCACACTTTCCTTTTCATTTCTGTTTGTTTTGCTGTTTGAAGAATTGGGTGTGTTGTAAAATATGATACCGTGATATACATGTGCATTGTGATAAGATTACTATAGACAAGAAAGTTAATATATTCATCATCACTCTACTCTTGGCAAATTTCAAGTCTGTGAAAGAATATCATTAACTACAGTCCTCCTACTCTACATTGGATCACTAGAAATTCATTTTATGTAACTGCAATTTTGTACTGTTTGATCTATATCTCCTATTTGCCTGGTAAGGAAGAGAATATGGGGTGGAGGTATAGGAAAACCAAAATGATGGTGAGAAAGAGCACCTAAAACTTGGATGCAGCAAACAATAAAATGGTCAAATGATAAAAAGGAAAGAAACAAAGAAATGAGCAAATCTGCAGCTACGACAATCCAACAACTGCCTCTGTACAAAAACATTAAAATAAAATACACGCCAGCCACTATTTCTTTCTTGATAAGGGAAAGAAGGTAGATTTCTACCCTCCCTTGTGTTTTCAGCCTGTGGGGCAGGGTGTTAAGATTCCCCTAGAATACGGCTTTAGGTGCCTTCAGGACAAAGTCAGGAGAAGTAAATGTGAAGTGGGAAATACACTGGACTTCATCTCCTGCTTCTTGCTTGTTTTAAAATAGAAATGCTACAAATTTGATGAAATCCACATCATTTTTATTTCCTTAATGGTTTGTGCTTTTGGGTTCTAGCTAAATCATTTTTCTTACCATAAAATGCAAATTTTTCCAATATATTTACCTCTAGAA